ATATCTTTTGAAAGATCGTGACATTCTCTATAATTTTTATTCAATATGTTTTTACAAAATATTAACATGTAAAAAGATATTGCCAAAAATGTGTGAAAAAAATTTCTAAATTCCTGATTGGACTTTTTTCGAGCCATAGCGAGCGCCGACGTGCTGCACTTCCGAAGAATAAGAAAGGTGTGTGTCACATTAGCACATATTGCTCTATCATCGCTGAAAATCTTACAATTCTATCTAAAAGCACTTTTGAGAAAAATGCTGGACAATGTGACCCTTTGAAAATCACTAAACTGCGGAAATCTCGAAACCGGAAGTGACGTCATCAAAATAAAAAATTATATATCAGGTTTGATTGATGTTTTATCAGTCCTGAAAGTTTCATGAAAATCGACCGAGCCGTTTTCGAGAAATCGCGTGCACAAAATCGGTAAGAAAAAAACAATAATAAAAATAACTAGAGCCGAGCTCGTTGCAAAGCAACGAGTAGGTCTTCCGTCCTGTTTGACCGGAAGTAACTTTCATTTAAAAAAAAGAGTAATGAAGTCCAAAAATGGTTTAATCCTCCAAATCTATGTTAATTATTGCAAAATAAAGTTATTTTTGACAACTTCCGGTTTGACCGGAAGTACCGTCGACGGACGGAAAATTAAGATTTAAGCTTCCAGTGACATATGATATCCCAAAACCTGTCAAGAACAGCAAAAATATGCAATTTTTGGCTACTTCCGGTTTGACCGCCGGACACATTTTGGCGACTGCATTAGATAAAGCTTGACATTTTGAACAACTTTGCTTCTTTGACGTATTACAAATTCCCAATACTTTTTGAGATATAAAGGAAAAACTTTTGGCCCCTTTTGACCCTTAATTATAGGGGCCAGCTCTTTATCGTTGATATCTTATGAAAGATTGTGACATTCTCTACAACTTTTGTTCTATATGTCTTTACAAAATGTTAACATGTAAAAAGATATTGCAGAAAAGGTGTCAAAATTTTCTAAATCCTCGATAGGACTTTTTTCGAGCCATAGCGAGCGCCGACGTGCTGCACTTCCGGAGAAAAAGATAGGTGTATGTCACATCAGCACATGTTGCTCTATCATCGCTGAAAATTTCAAACTTCTGTGTTAAGTGCTTTTTGAGAAAACTGCTGGACAAAGTGACCCTCTGAAAATCACTAAATCGCGAAAATCTCAAAACCGGAAGTGACGTCATCAAAACAAAAAATTATATATCAGGTTTGATTCGAACCCCCACACTGGGACAAAGTTTGGTTCGGTCATATCTTTTCAATAAATGCACGCATCAAGACACGGAATGCATATTTAGAATTCTCATTAGACACACTATAAACCCTGTAAATCCTAAAGAAAAATATCGAAAAACAAAAAAGTTGAAAAATTGGACTTTTTGAATTCACTTCCGTTTGCGACCGGAAGTGCCGACGACGAAAAATAAAGGTCGTTGTTCAGATTGGAGTTCGATGTTCTATTACCTCAGTGAGTTTCACTTTTATATGTTCAGCCGTTCTCGAGAAAACTGCTGGACAAAATGCCTTTTAAAAAAAACAAAAATCCTCCAAAAATTGCGAAAGAAAGTGAATTTCAAAAAAATGAAAAACACGTCTAGAGATATTCAAATGATGCATCATTCCTGTAAAAATCTTTTAGATCCGTCCACGCACAGCTGAGATATCGCTCTAACTATGAAAAAAGAAAAATAATAATAATAAAAAACAGACGAATAACAATAAGGTCTTCCGAAGGAAGTCGGAAGACCTTAATAAAAATAGTGGAAAAGAAACCTAAGAATAACAAGAAGGTCTTCCGCTGAAGACGGAAGACCTTAACTAGATGCGTTCTTGTTGCTAAAGCAACAAGCGACTTTTCGTTAGAATTCTATGATGCGACATCCCATGAAATAGATTTCAGAATGTATTTTATTGTTTACATTTATTCACAGCAGTCTCTCCCGCATACATCATGATATTTACAGGTATTCCTCAAAATATCTCAAAAATAGCTTTTAAAAATCGGCAAAATATTCCATACGTTTTATAAAAGAGATAAAAGTCATTTGCAACTGAAAAAAGAAATAAACAAAGAAAAAAAATTGAACGCCCACAGCGGGATCGAACCCCCGACAGTGGGACAAAGTTTGGTTCGGTCATATCTTTTCAATATATGCACGCATCAAGATACTAAACATATATTTAGAATTCTCATAAGACACTCTGTAAACCCTGTAAATCCTAAAGAAAAATATTGAAAAACAAAAAAGTTGAGAAATAGGACTTTTGAATTCACTTCCGTTTGCGACCGGAAGTACCGACGACGAAAATAAAGGTCGTTGCCCATAACGGAGTTCGATGTTCTATCATCTCAGTGAGTTTCACTTTCATATCTTGAGCCGTTCTCGAGAAAGCTGCTGGACAAAATGCCTTTTTAAAAATACAAAAATCCCCAAAAATCGCGAAAGACAGTGAATTTTGAAAAAACGAAAAACACGTCTAGAGATATTCTCATGATGCATCATCCCTAAAAATCTTTCAAATCCGTCCACGCACAGCTGAGATATAACCCTAACTATGAAAAAAAGAAGAATAATAATAAAAAACAGACGAATAACAGTAAGGTCTTAGAAGGAAGTCGGAAGACCTTAATAAAAATAGTGGAAAAGAAACCTAAGAATAACAAGAAGGTCTTCCGCTGAAGACGGAAGACCTTAAAAAATAGTGGAAAAGAAACCTAAGAATAACAGTAAGGTCTTCCGCTGAAGACGGAAGACCTTAATAATAATAATAAGAAACAGAGTAAAAACAATATGTTCCCCAACTTCGTTTTGGGGAAACATAATTAGTGAGGGTGCTGAGATCACAAAAATTAAATTTCATAAAAATTCATTGCGTTTTGCTAAATTCATTTCTCGCCAAAAACAACATTATACCGATTTTTAAGGAGAACTCTCTAAAGAGTTTCGCTTAAATTTCCACTTATAAATACGGTATTTTGTGTGTGTGTTGTGTGTGTGTGTGTGGTCCGATCCTTCTTTAATTATATTAGCTTGATTCGGAAAACATACCATGTTTGCTTTCACTTTGAATTTTTGTTTTCCTCCGCTGAAATTGGGGGAAATCTATTTCTGTATGTCTGTCCGTCTTATTTCTGTCTGTTTGTAATTTTTTTTTTCCATGCATATGTATCTCAAAAAGCCTTTGAGTTTTTGGAATGAAATTTTAGATCCGCGCATGCTTTTTTTTTCCTTAAGCGTGGGTCACAATGTTTTTCAAATAGGTTATAAAAATTGTTCTAAATGTTTCGAAAAAATATGTGCTGAATTAAAACGTGCATAATGTAGGCCTCAGCACATTTAACAGTGTCATACTATACATATGTACACAAATTTCCTTTTCATTTGTAAATCTAAATCTAATTTGGTTTTTCTTTTATTATTCGAAGTAGTTGATATTTGATACATGTGTAGCAGTTAGATAACAGATTTCGATATAGTCATTTAACTTTTGTAAATGTTCGAATTATAAAGGGATGTTTTAAAAAGCTGAAACGCTTACTTGATTTTGAAGCGAGACCATAGAAACTATGCGCTAAACCACGGTGTATTCTAGTCTTACATAGTAAAGGATTTCACTAGAAGTGAAACATGCGAAAGATATCAGTTGTTTCACACACTGGCAAATCACCCTCTCTTGTTAATTCATGTTATTTCTTTATCCCTTAATTTTCGAAAACTTGCAAGAGGCGAGCATGAAAAAAAAACCCCACATTTAATGGGTTGGATCCTGCCTTCAAAAATAATAAGAATTTTTTATCAAGTACATTTTTAGAATTTATACACATAACTTTATTAAAAATCAAAACAAAAAAATGGGGGTCTATGCGGGGTTTTTTGTTCGCCACAAAGCATTTTGTTTAACCTTTTTGCACTGTAAAAATTTCTTACACATAAATCAACTTTTAAAGTTTTTCCTCCAATATTTTTTGTTCAAATATTAAATAGACATATTAAAATTACTGACAAAAATTACTCCGCATGAAAATTTGACAAGAAAAAAACAAATATTTGAAAGTAATGACATTTTTTTGAATTATTTAAGATGAATTGTTAAAACTATCGAATATATTCAGAAAAGAAAATTAATTAAAAGTGGGGGGTCTGTGATGTTAATTTTCAGATACATGTATTACTAAAATAGTGTTAATTTTAAGCTAAAATTAGGGCAATTTTTTTCTTCATTTTCACAACATATTTGCTAAAGATATTTATCAAATATGACGATAGAATTCACGACAATTTTTTAAATACATGTAGATTATTTAGGACCAGTATAAAACAGTTCACTGCACAAAATAACGCCGTGGTCAGACTGCATTTAAAAATAGGAATCCAAAATTAATACATCTAGTACTTTAAATACTTCGAAAGAGGAAAAAAAAACGATCATTTTCCTCTTTAAAAACCTCAATTCCGCCACAAAATATAGTTCCTCACATAATGCTTTTGGTATGGATGTTAATCATGGAGTTTTAACTGAATATAGATAAATTGGCATTGTAGAATCCAAAGTATTGTAAGAATTCAATCATTATGCAGAGTTTTTGAAATATAAGTTAAGATGAAAATCTGCTCAAAATTTCAAGAGCGAACCTCATTAAAAGAAAATAATAGAGCTCTTTTTGTGATTCGGAGAATCAAGTCTTTATGCTCCAGTGAACGAAGTTGCCATGAAGACCAGCGTAGTGTAATTTAAGTTTCCATTCAATTTCTCTGTCATACAAATTCTGCACGTCTTTCAAAAAAAATGTGTCAAAACAATCATAGAAAAATGAGTAAAGATAGATATCTGTACGATTATATATTTTACCATAATATAAATATCTATTATGTCAGGCAAATCAGAAGAACAAAACTGGTACATGCATGCATATGAAAGAACATGCAGTAAGTAGGTCAAGGATTGAAATATTCGGATCGATTTTAAAATGTCTGAAAGAATCTATGAGGATTTGACATATCATAATTTCAAAACTGAAAGAAGTGCTGATGTCAAAAAAGTTAAAAAATATACACGATATATCAAAGAGATTGAAAAGAAAGCTAAAAAGGAGTGGAAAAAATACCCAACCTTATACAGGAATAATCCCTGGATTCCAAAATTAGAGGATTTGGAATTTCAACTGAAATACAGAGAATTTATGAATGGCAAGGTAATGTAAAGGATTTATTTTGTTGAAATTAAGATTTTTTGAAAGGAAATGGGTCATGATTACATGTATTATGTTTTAAATAATATTTCTTTACAGGAGAAGATAGCCCCTTCCTACGATTGCAAATTAGCGTCTCTGTACGAAGACATTAAGACACATTATTACATGTACCAAAATGAATTAAAAGCAATGCCAAAAGATATTGAAGGGTGCAAAGATGTCATTGAAAAATATGTAGACGCAAGAGAAGTATTACCTTTTATGAGAGATGTCGTGCACAGAGATGGTAAGAGAAAATTTATTTAGTCTTGGTTCACTTTACCTGAAAACTCACTAACCCCCAACACTGGGAATACAATGAAAGTCTAACAATTAAGTAAATTAACATGTGAACAGTAAACATTATTACTAGTAACTACAATAGATCTACCGGGGTATGAAATGGACAGTACTGACATTTTTTTAAAAATATATATTTAATGTTTACATTGTAGGAAGTTCAGGTATGAAATAATTTGAAAACAGTCTTAACTAAACCTATATTAACATGTATCAGAAGTATTCATTAAATTATTTTTTTTTAAAAAGTTATTAGCATGTAAATACTGCTAGCTATAAATTCTGCACTTTCATTTTATAAAAAAAGGACAATTTTAAAAATAATAACATCCTTTCCAAAAATAGACACGATAATACACTTGTAAGAATATGAAAGCCCTAGCTAGTACTAACTGTCAATATCACTTATGGCCAAGGTTAAAGTTTTTTATCTTTTTTCAAGCTTTCACTGGGACAAACTCTGAGGTCAAGGTAAAAAAAAATTTATAGGAACTTGTCACAATGAATACACATGTGAAGTATGATAGCCCATGGCACAAACTGTTCAACTTTTTTTTTTGTAAAAGTGGGAAACTAACACTCCAAGGTGTACAAGTGGTCTTATTTGGTGGTACCCAAAGAAAGGTCTTTTCACGAGGAATACACCTGTGGAATTTGAGAGCCATAGCTTACTAACTGTTCAAAACTAATCAAAAAGTTATGGGCAAGGTTAAAGTTTTCACGGAAGTAAACAGACAAACAAAAGTGGGTCACAGACAAGTGGTCGGACAGACAGAGCAAAACTAATTTGATATTCTGGTCATAAGTTATGGGCAAGGTTATTGACAGACGGACAGACAGAGCAAAACTATATATTCAGCGACATAAAACGATTTTTAAAATCTTCTTTTGAGAACAGTATACGAGTACCTATGATTAGTCATATTGATATTTTAGCATTCTTTGGAACTGTAGATTCGAATTTTTGATAGACATGTAATAAAGTTTTTCAGAATTTTGTTTTTAGATATCACAGATATTGTTAATAGGAGCAATATATCCACCAGCAATGGAACAAAAGAACTTCTAAATTGCTTGCAAAGGTACCCACATAGACATCTCAATGTACCTTCAGTATGGGCGACCTTTGAAATGGCCCTCAAACAAGCAGGTGTGTGTAATTCTCTGATAAAATCATGTTTAGTCATACTATTTGCTCAGATCATTTTAATATTAACTTTTATCACCAAAGAGGTAAATGTTTACAGATATTGGGAACATGGCATTATTTATGTGAAAAGGGATTCAAGAAAAATTTCAACGCTTTGCAAGCAACGGTTTTGGTCCTTTCTATTTTTTAAAACCTGTGGATGTCTGTAAAAAGTAAAATAATATTCTCTAGTTTTCACAAATTAATGAATGTATTGTGATACTACTGTAAATGACTACCCAGATTTATCTTGACTTTCAAATTGCTTTCGGTCTGGACGATTTCCAAATATGGAAGTCAAGAACGATAACTGAAAGTTGCTATAAATACGTATCATAGACACGTTAATATTTTTTCTGTCCAATCAGACAACAGCATTTTTACACACCCCAAAACATTTTTCAAAGTAACAAAAAGATAACACGTGCTTTTGTTTTGTCGTCAAAAAGATTTTTTGACAAAAAATCTTCAGAAGAAAGATGAAAAGTTTGGAAGAATAAGGTATTCCCAACATATTTATTAAACGAAAGTCAACAAACTTGACATTTTCAAAAATCAAGTCGAAAAATAAAAAAAAACACACATGTAACAATGCGATGGTTTACGAAGGAATCTAATATTCACGTCCGGGATAACAGCTCACTCTCTCACCAACAAGTACAATTATGACATTTACTACAACAGATCAACATGCTAAATACTGGTAAATTTAGTTTTGCTTAGCCGTCCGATTTTCATGGACAACGCGTACTTTCCACGCGTATACATGTATGTAGATCTACTGCACACAAGTATATTCTCTACATGTAGTGTTAAAATAACACGGGTTTCATGAGCACTGAATTCATTTTAAATGGACATACATGTACAGAAAAGGTATAAATCGTTAATAAAAGGAATGTACATGTACATGAATGCTTGTTATCACCGTTATGATACCTTGCCTCGGATACCAGAAACTGCACACATTTATAAACACTCGAGATATAATTAAATGTAAGACTGTTATGTTTCCATACGAAATCATTTTCACGCCAGGCTCTAAAAATTGAAAATCTGCCGTTTTTATATCAAATTTCTTAATACAAGCTTAACTTCGGAGATGTTACCTCGAAGTGACAGAATTTTAATCCGACTAAGAATTTATTTTTAGCTTTTAAGTCGTGTTTGTTCACGGTAAAATTGTTATATATACTATACAATTTCTAATTGTGCATAAAATTTACAAAAAGTATGTTTTAAAAAAATCTTTTGGGCAGAAAACTTAAAAACCTCGTGTTTTCTTTATTTTCTCATGGGTTTGTCTAAATGCCGTTATCTGATTGGTCAAAAGGATTAGCACTTTGTTTATTTTGTGTATTTATAGCAATTACGGTTATCGTCCTTGACTTCCACATTTGGAAATCGTCCAGACCTGTTCAACTTGAATCTTTATGTATACATGATTATCATATCGAAATAATTAAAAAATGCTTTCAATAATTTATATTTTCCTCAGGCTATGACTTTGTAACAAAAAAGATCAATGGAAAATTAGTCAGTCAACAAGAAGCCAATCATGAGAAACAAATAAAGTGCATCCAAAGATTATGTTACTTGATTTACTACCGTGTTGATGTAAACGAGGTATGTCCAGATCTAGTCAGTGAGGGTGTGATAAGTGAAACCCGATGCCAGAGTATAAAAGCCGAGGAAAAACTACACGGAAACAGTATTGCAACATATAAACTGATGGATTCAATATGGAGACTCCACGAAAACTGGTTCAATATATTTTTAAGTGTATTGCAAAAAAGAACTATGATGATATTGCCGAGGAAATCGCAAAAGCAGGTAAAATTTCTAGATAGTAAAACAAATGGATACAGTTCCATATATGTTTTCATAGAGATGAAGATAACAATAATAAGGCATGATAATGACAAAGTTAAAAGATTCGATCATATGAGGCGCCGTTTTGGTATTTACTGCCAAAGTGTGATATCACCTATTCGAATAAGTGATATCACCTATTCAGACTTTGAATAGGTAATATCACCTATTTGATTTGAATTGGTGATATCACGTATTCGAAAAGGTGACATCACTTATTAGAATAGGTGATACCACTAATTCGAATAGGTGTTATCACCTATTCCTTTCGAATAGGTGTTATCAATCATTCGAATAAGTGATATCACCAATTCAAATTAAGTAGGCGTTATCACTTATTCGAAAAGGTGATATCATCATATCATTTTGAATAGGTGATGTCACTTATTCAAATAGTTGATATCACCTATTAAATTAATTATAAAATAACAACAGCTCCCAAGACTATGGGTCATTAAATCTTATTTACAATGCTTATTAACAATGGTAATTTCCATTCCTACGTCGATACGATATATCCTGGTTAGCTTGAGATAAAAGATACCACCGAGTCTGAAACATCTGTTTCATACTTGGATATTTTACTTTAAAAACATGTTAATGGTAATCTAACTACTGAGCTATATGATAAACGTGATGGCTACTTACAGCTCAACGCACTTTTAAGCTCTCATGGTTTTTCGCACAAATTAAGGTCACATTGTTGTAATAGAAATTACCATTTTGGAACTGCAGTACAATGACACAACCCTTTTGTTATATTACATATATAATGTCAAGCATAAATGTCTTTTAAAATCATTATCTTAAGTTTCCAAAGTGGATGTTTTAAACGAAAAAAATATAAATAAATGGAAGTATGTTTCGACTATACGATTCTACCACAGGTTTACACAAATTGTATAAAACAAGCTTTCCTTGATCCCATGTAGTTGAAATTTTTAAATTTTCTCTAAAGATAATTATTTTCTAAACATTTTCGCTCACTTACAATACTCCTCTTGGTTTCGTCTACATGTAGCGCCGAAAGGGATACTATTGCAAAAGGAAACCACACTAAAGGGTAGGATAATGAAGTATTGTTTTGTTTTTTTTTAAATAGTAAATTCCTTCTATGAAAAGGAAAACTCTTCTGAATTTACGAATCGAAACGTTAAAATTTTATGATTCTAGATTTTAGAAGTTGACTCTTAAAAATCCCACCTTATTAACATAGAAAGCAGTCAAACAAATGAAAAATAATATTACATGTACCATCCCGAGTTAAAGAGTCAAAATGTACAGAAAATATAAGTTACAGTAGCTGTACTGTACCCATGTCTACGTTTCTGCCAAGAGCTATTGCTTTCAAAAGAACGGATAAAAAGACAGTTACAATTGGCAAGAAATTACAAAAATTTAAACGAGAATAGTTGTTATTTTTCAGCCGTGAATATATCAAAGTTCTACCAATTGATTTGTGTGAATTATGTTTAGTAAATGCGTATAAAACTCAAATTATGTAAACAAATACTTTTAAAATGTATTTTGTTGTCTCGATACACAATATTATATCATAACAATGTGACCTTAGTTTGTGCGAAAATCCATGTGAGCTTAAAAAGTGCGTTGAGCCGTAACTTTTCTATCGTCAACTTTCCTTACTTATGCAGCAATATACCTTCACCACTTGCATACGGAGTGTATATATCTCAGTTGATTCGATGCACAAGGGCATGCTCTACATATAAACAATTTCTAAAACGAGGTCAATTATCGACAAGCAAGTTGA